TTTTTCTGAGAATATCTTTGGCTGTTTGAGCTCTTTGATGATTCCATGCAAATTTTAGGATTTTTTGTTCTATTTCTCTAAAAATATGCCACAGGGAGTTTGATAGAGATTGCATTGGATTTGTGTATTGCTTTGGGTGAAATGGCTGCTGTAACAATATTAATTCTCCTGATCAATGATTTGTCATATTTGGTCTTTATTATGTTGAGGTAAATGCCTTATACACTTTGTTGAATTTTTGTTCTAAATGAATGTTGAGTCCTAGCAAATACTTCTACATCTATTGTGATTTTTAAACTTCATTTTGTTGATGTGGTGTATCACATTGTTTTGTGAATGTTGAACCATCCTAATATCCCAGGAATAAATATCAGTTGGTTATAATATATGCTTTTTTATTTTTTAAAAAAAGCCATTGGACGTGGTGTGGTGTTATTGAGGTTTTGAGAATGTCTGTTTCCATACTCATTAGGGATATTGTGTGTGTGTGTGTGTTTGTGCAAGCACGCATGCGTGCATGTGTTGTGTGTGTGTGTGTGTGTGTATTTTTGGGGGGTTCTTGTTTGGTTTTGGTATCAGGGTAACAATGATTTTATGAAATGAGTTTGAAAGTTTTCCTCTTCGAATTTTTCTAAGTGTGAGAGCTATAGATTTTAAATCTTGGTTTGTTGTTTGGTAGAATTCTCCACTGCAACTTTCTGGTTTTTATTTTTGGAGAGTTTTCTGATTATTTCTGTCTTCAAGCTCATTTAAATGTTTTTCTGTTTCATCAATTCTATTGTACTTTTCATTTCAGTTATTGTATTTGTTAGTTCTGTAACTTCTGTTGGCACTTGTATTTTCTCTTTGTTGGACTTCTCTTTTTGTTCATACATTCTCCTGACTTTGGTGAACATCTTCAATGCTGTTACTTGGAATTCTTTATCTGGCAGATTGTTTATTTCCATTTTCATTAAGGTCTTTTTCTGAAGGTTTCCCTTGTTTATTTAGAACATATTTGTCTGTTCATTTTGCTCAACAGTGTTGTTTGTATGAATTAGGTAAAAGAGCCGTCTCTGTCTTGGAAAAATAATCTTGTATAATTCTGAACCTTGCTCAAATTTGTCCTATTTTTTTGTTGTCTCTTGAATCATTGCGGTTGCCATGGTGTTCTTGAGCAGTTCTTTTGTTGAAGGTGAGCCAAGACCTGTGTGTGTTCTGAGGGGGGGGATTATCTTTCAGTACCTAATTTCAGGCTGATTTGTGCCAGGTCCTCAGATATCAGCTTTTAAAGTATGCCAAGATGTATGACCCGATGGGCTCATTGTTGTAAACCTTGCCTTCTTACAGACTTGGTGATATGGAGACGTCCTTTTTGGGGAATAGTTGGCAGAACTGGGGTTCTATGACTATAATCTTCATTCTGGGAGATATTGCTAAGTCGTAGTGCTCACTCTTGGCCTCACAAAGATTGCATCCCCTGCCCTATGTTCCTGAGAGTTCCTCCTGTTGAGTGAGGCCCCAGAAGTTCAAGAAGGCATGAGAATATGCTGACTTGAGCAATAGAGGGGGAACACTATAGTGGCATGCTATCTCTGGCCAGAGTTAGTAGAGTGTGAGGGGGAAAAAAAACAACAAAACAGAATGGTGCCTGAGTGTGTCTCCACACCTGGAGAGAATTACAACAGACTCTTGTCTCTGGCAGACATGTTAAGATTAGCTAATACATCTTCTTTCTAGATGGCTTAGGTGCTTTTTTTAGATAACTCCAATGATTTGCTGCTTTTGCGCTCAGTGGCAAGGATGAGTGTGTCTGTGCACTTGCCTGTAAAGAGTAGACTGTCTACCCCTCCACTGCCTCTTGGGCTCCTGGTTATTTGGTAACCCAAGAGGTAGGCTGCCTGATGAGGGAACTGAAGCTTTTGTGAGGGCCCTGCTGTGGGTTGTGGTGTAGGGGCGAAGTTGCTTGGCAAGGCTGAGCCTCTGCCTCTCCTGTTTTGGTGAGGTCATTTTGTTCCTTGGTGTGGAGAGAGCCGCTCGGCTGTTTACAGAGCTTTCTCAGAGAGAAGTGTACCATATTGGCTGTATGTTTGGTGTGATATGCCATGGCAGGAGGTGACTCCAGGATCTTCCTACATTCCCTTGAACTGCCTCCTATTTTTAATTTTCTGAGGAATATCATTACTGTTTTCCACAGTGACTGACTGTACCAATTGTTTATTTATATTCCCACCAACAATCCACCAGGGTGCCCATCTCCACAGCCTCACCAGCTTTTCTCTTGTCTTCTTGATAACCATTTAAACACATGTGAGTGATCTTACTGTGGTTTTGACTACATTTCCCTAATGATTATTGATACTGAGCACCTTTTCACCTACCTATTGGCCATTTGTGTATCTGCTTTGAAAAAAATGTCTATCAGGTCCTTTGCTCATTTTTAATGATTATTTTGCTGGTAAGTTGTATGACTTGTCAGATATTTGGTTTGCAAATAATTTTCCCACTCCGTCACTTGTCTTTTCATTTTATTGATCATTTCTTTTGCTGTCATCATCCCACTTGTTTATTTTTGAATTTGTTGCTTGTGCTGTAGCTGTTATATCCCAAAAAAGCCATTGCCAAGATCCAAGTCAGGGAGCTTTTTTCCTTTTTTTTTTTTTTTCTTGTAGGAGTTTTATAGTTGTAGGTCTTATACTTAGGTCTGGATAGGATTCTGCTTTTCAGACATACTTTCTAAGGGACAGTTCAGGGGAAAATATTTTTAATGGGCTGACAGGGTATCAGTTTCTAACATATGATCCTTACTTGTCTCTTGCAATTGTCCAGACTCAGGGCCTTGTGCTCTAGATAAAGGGGCAAAGCGTCATTTCCAAGGGCACTTACCCCACGTTATCATGAACTTCATGCCCATTTTGATTATTTGATACCCACTTGATACTTTAAGACATCAGCAAGAAAAGAAGACCCCAATTCTTCTAATGCTTTCACTTGGACATCGTCATTGGCCATACAAAGGACCAGATCTCAGTCAACTGAGTGACACCAGTCATGGTTTATAATCACCACTATTGCATTATAATTGTGACCAAGTTGTAAATGGCAAACGGGGGTGGGGGTTGAGTTGTCTCCTTTAGTGTACCAAAATCACAACATATGCTTTAAAAAGAGGTCCAGAGACGAGACTGAATCTTATTTTAGAGTTGGAGGTCTTTGTAGGTGAACTGAGTTGTCAATTTTCCACAACTGCTTAAATATATGACTAAGACCAACTAAGGACAGACCAGTAAATTACTCTATAGTCTTTCCTCTGTGCTATACTATTAGCATAAATTATATCATAAAACATTTTCATTTCATTCACTAATAGTGGTGGCTTTTAACTGGAACACTACAAGTATTTCAACAATTGGGTGATCATAAGTAGTGATTCTCAACTTTAGTATTAAAATCACCTGGAGAGCTTGTTTCCACAGACTACTGTGTTCCACTCTGAATGTGAGCAGATCAAGGGGGAAGCCCTTGAATTTGTACTTCTAACAAACATGTTTCCAAGCTCCTAGGATACTTCCAGAATCACTGGTCTAATGCAAGCCCATGCCATCTCCTGCCATTTATTATTAGCTATTTGTGCACCGTCCACCAGTCGAGAGCTGCATGATTAGATTTCCAGCAGGAAGAGTGAGCTGTGACCTTTTCTTAAAATTCCCTGGTGCCTTTTCCATGACAGTATGTTATAGTGCAGGGATAAAGAACCCTTTGAGTCAGACCTTGTAAGTGCTCTATTTCATTACACAATCTTGAGTAAGTAATTTTAACATCTATGCTTCAGTTTTTACATCTATAGAATGGGGATATTATCTTTTAATTCATAGAATTGTGGAAAGATCGAATTAGATAAGGCTCAGAGAGTATTTAATGCATAAAAATCACTCTATACTTTCAGAGAGAAATGAATAGACCGTTGGTTACTCATATGATGGAAGGGCTGACACCAAACGGGTGTGGTAAAAGATACCACAAATTTAGCAACAGCGAAGTTATTTCTTCTCCTTGGGCTAGAATAATGGGAGGAAGCAATGTTGCCAGCACTCAGAAGATTCCTGAAAGAGCAGAGTGGGTCTACTCAGATCCCAAAGAAAGGGCCTGTCAGGCAAGATGGAGGTATGTGAGATCCACTGTGTAAAAGTCATTGGGCAAAAGGCCTTGGGAAAATAGTTCTTTGATATAGAACAGAGCAGGGCAAAAGCAGTATGTGGCTCTGTCACTGCCGTGCTGTTTCTTAGTCATTGCTGCCATGACGGTCAATTTTTATGTATCACTCTCCTCTCCATGGACCATGTCTTCATGTCGAACCCTCACTGTATGTCACGTAAGGCAGTGCCGTGTGTGTGTGTGTGTGTGTGTGTGTGTGTGTGTGTATGCAAAGTGGCATTCTAAGTTCCTTCAGCAGTAAGAGCCAATGGGAATGCCGCTTCAGATTAAGAAGTTTGTATATATTGCCTGGGTACTACTAAACTGTGAAGCCCTGAACCTACATGTAGTTTTCCTCTCCGTAGCCCATGTCACACCTGCTGCGGTGCCTCATACTGCCCTCTATGCTGGGGGTGTTAAAAATGTGCAGACTCTAGGACAGAGAGACAAACCTTATCAAGCCATGGTTTGCAGAGGCTGAGTGGAAGGTTTGGAGATGGGTGGTAGAGAAGGGAAGGACCGAAAGACAGTGGGCGTTCTGATATTTTCTTAACCCGAGAATGTACCTTGCAACAACAGCATCTAGAGTATTTCTTTTTCCATTATTAAGGCTATGGAAACACTTAGCTATCTTTCATTCACGTGACCACTGTAATGTCCTCACTTTACAATAATGAGATAATTGTGATAAGTGAGCACAAGGGGATGGGGGATGGGAGACTACAGAGAGCAGCAGCAACATTTACTGCCCAAAAGAGCAAGAGGGCTTTTGTAGAAAAACTTCTTAGGTGATAACTGAAATTTCAAACTATAACTTAAGTTTCAAAACAATCTTTATTCTATTTGAAGACCTAATACAATGCATTAAAGCAACTGAAAACAACAAAGACATAGCTCCATTGCATCTATAGCTTGAACAAAATGTCAAGGAGGCACACTCCCCCCACCCCCCACCCCAGTTGCCTTGTAAAGGCAAAATTACGACTGACCATGACATCCTCCCTCTCGTCAAAAGACCAACTTTATTTTAACAATGTCATATAAACAGATTTGTAAAAACATTGAACAGATTGTAGCTTTAAAAAATACACACATATAAATGAGATTTTTTGTTTTGCTTTTTTTTTTTTTTTTTTAATAGCAGCATCCTGGGCAGCTAATGCTATCTCATGGTGACAAGTTTAATGTTAACTTGGATAGTGTTTCCAATGAGCCCAATTCTGTCTCCTCCCTCCTCGTAATACTAGTATTTATGTAAGTAGATCTAAAAAAAGATAGTAATTTGGCATATTGGAACTTTGTCCCATGTGAGGCATTGTGCTTTCAACTGCCCCTTTCTTAAATGACCCTGAACTCAAATCTCAGGGTCTGCCTTCCAACCGACGTGGACACCATGCATAGCAAAAGCACAGTTGTTAAAACCAGCAGAATTTTTCTCCCAATAAGGAACATCAGTAGGACTTCCCAAACACATCACTAGTTCATAACCAGGTATATGACAAAGCAATTGGTTCCCCACAGTGACGGCTCACATAAACACATTTTGACTCGACACACTGATAAGGAGGATTTCCGAGTAAAGCAAGTCATCCAGACCAGCTCCCCCAAAGGAGTAACTTTTAAAAACAGAAAAAAGCCAAAGAATTATGAACTTCTCACTTCACTTGCAAACAATTTCACCTTTATAAGACAAAACAAAGCAACTTCAAAGGAAGGCAACAACCCATACACATATACAAGACTTGTACTAGACACTTGCTTGTTATGTACTGGAACTCAACGACTGTGGAATCATTTCGGCTGAGGTGTCCTGGGAACACAGTCCATGCACATATACATATATACAGATAAAGGGCCATGAAGTTGTCACATGTTGCAAGCATATGCTTTTTGCCTTTCCACATGGTGATTTTTCTCGTGTGTGCTATCAGGTGCCAAAGCTCCCACTTCTACAGCCCTATTACAGCCTCTCTGCAGCTTAGCTTCTGACATGTAGGACACTACACGGGTGGGAAAGTCAATGCATGGATAAAAACATGTATCAGGAGTGCTCTGCTGTCGTCGTTCTTGCTCCTGAGCCACTCCGACAATACTGTTAGGAGTCTGAACCTAAAGCCTGAACCTGCGGGTGAAACATCTCGAGTGACAGGTGGGGCGGGCATGCTACACGCATTCAGAAAGGCATTTGGCAGCGGGGTCACATCACATGGATGGTGTAATCACTGTGATAAGGAATGACGAATCTTGCCTTGGCTGTTTAAAGGAAAGTCTATTGCATTTATACTTGAGATGCAAAAGTAAGGCAAGTGCCTGAATACCGTGGCATCTCGTGAAGTGCCAATGCAAAAACATTACAAAACTGTAGCTCTTAATGAAACATTCCATCTCAGGTCTTACTTTTTAGAAATTAAATGAAAAATATATTCAATGGCATACATGGATGTGCTACCACAAAAAAAACAAAAGAACCCAACACTAGTTCATAAACTGCTATTAACTAAAGTAATTAATTGTTAGATCTCTGTGTGACATGGAAGGGGAGTTGTAAAGCAGACACTCACAGACTAAAAGCAGGGAAATCAATTGTCTGGAGATGAGAGGGAGCTAGATGGTCAGATCAGTACAGTCAAGTTTGAGGGCCGACAGTCTGGCTGTGAGACTGACTATTGCTCTTGAGTATGTGTAGCTTCATGTAAAGAGGAAAAACTACATTCTACAGCTAAGTCAGCTGCTAGACTGATTCTTTCAAAGAAATTAAAAGGGAACAATAGGAAAAAAAAAAAAAACAAAACAAACCACCCTTGCCCCAGTAATGGAAGGGAAAAGCAAGCAAGCTGTGGGTGAGTCTGTTTAGTATTGAGAAAGGAACTGAAATTGGGAGATTCCACTTTAATCTACAGGGGAGTGTCCATGACTATTTTATTCTTCCCAACACCTGTGCAACTTCCACCGAACAGAAAGGCTTTTGCATGTGTGAATCAGGGAGAGTGACCTCGCACTGCTGCCCTAAACTGGAAAGCGGACCCAACATCTCTCTCCTCACCCTCACAGTGTAACACACGGTGATCTGGATGGTGGGACGGGCCGTCGTGGCGTCGCCGCGATGGCCGTGCCTGTAACAAGCGCCGCCCAGCCCAGAGCAGTAGTGGTTACCATCATGTCTATTTGCCTTATTGTCTAAATCGAATGGAAAGCTAAGAAAAGAAAGCTAAAATCGAATGTCAGATCATGCCTTTTCTAAAATGACTGTCGGTCGGTTGTAATGGGTAGCCTAATGTTTAAGAGAAGGTTGATAGATGCAGGGTATACCTTTAAATCAACATTGCAAACAAAGGTGAACGTGGTTCTTGGAGCCTAACTTGCCCCTGCCGGCTGAAATTTCTGACCAGCTGCCTGTGTTAGTTATAGTCGCTTGGTGTAGTTGTCCTCAATTGCTAATAACTAGAAGATCAAAAAATGGGAAAAGACTGAAGTATAAGCAACTTTGCTCTGCAGTAATTCACTTCTTCTCTGTCATCTTGAGAAAGTGCATACCACCCTGCCACCCCTCCCCAACATCCCACCTGTACACCCCATTGCTACGTCCCCCCTCCCTAGATTCAAGAAGTTCACAATTCTTTAGGAAACAAACATTGTCAGGTACCGTATTTTACGTCTTGAAACAACATTGTCGAACTTAGCGATACTTTGTCATATTCATATATCTTTTCTTTTTTATTGAATAAAGCAGCTTTGAAGCTTATCAGGCACTGCCCAACAAAACATTTAGTCCAAAAAATCTGTTATGAACTTTTTAACCTTGGGCTAACAGCCAAGTACTCTGTACAAGAAAAACTGTAAAATATTTCATAGTTTTAATTCTGAAGCCATTTTTTTACTGGCATCCTGTACATTTCTTCTTAAAAAAAAAATAACAAAAACGAATATTAACAAAAAGATCAGGGACAACAATATTTTCAAGCAACAAAAACTGGGGTGGGGAAGCTTATTCTGAAGGTATATTTGAAACTGAGAGAACAACTTAATAAAAATTAAGAGTTGCATAGCACTGTGAATTTAGCTTTCAGCAAAACAAAACAAGCTATTTGGTATTGATACAAATCCATCTATTTTATAGTTAGTCATCCAATATTATGTACATATTTTATATACTGAATGTCATTTTAAGTCTGGTTTTCCAAGCTCATTTCCTTGTTGGTGGGTTTTTTTTTTTTTGGAAAAGTTTAAACAACACTTTCTGGCACTTTGCTACAACAGAATTCTCTTTGAACATACGTGAGTTGACATTCTCCCAAAGTGTCCCTTGTGAGTGGAAGTGCCTTTCTGCTACATATCATTCATTTGTTAAGAAAATGAAATAATCCACAGTGCGATGTGTCTGGGCCCACCGTGCACAGCAACACCCAGGCTAAACCAGGCTGGACCGAGCATCCCAGGCAGGGCTCTTCAGCCCATCCACCCTCCGAGGTCTACAAGGTCCCAACTTTGAGCTGGTAAAGCTTCAGAAAGCATTAACAAGCACCATGGTGAAAGGCCTCTTTGTCCCTGCACGCAGAGATTTTTGCATTTCTTTTTCTCTTTGTGGTGGTGTGGCTTTAAATTAAACCCCCCCAAAAAAAAAAAATTGGAAAAAAAGGGTAAGCAATCCGGATTAGAAACGTATGGTCACGGCACAGCAGCGTGAGGCTGCTTGTCTTCCCCTACTACTTTTTGTCGAAGAAAGCTCGAGTCCCATCTGAAGGCAGACAGCTTCGTTTCTGCAGCTCAATTCACAGGTCAGGCTGGAGAGAAGCCCTGTGCTTTCCAGAGGTTTCAGGGTGTGTGAACTCCAGGAGAAGGATCCGAGGGCCAGCGCTTCATCGCCTCTGCTGTGCATATACCGGGTAGGCTAGTGTGACGTTGAGGGAGTCGTTGTGCTGCACGAGGGAGGTGTGTTGGTAATGTAGCACCAGTTCTTTCAGGGAGCTGTACAAGTTATAAGGCTCGGCAAAGCCGTAGCCGGTCGCTGTCTTGTTTATGACACAATGCTTTACCTCGCCATCCACCCTAGAGAGGAGAGGGGGGAAAAAATGCCTTTTGAGCTTATCCAGGACAAATTCCACAACTCCACCAGGGGTTTTTAATCAAGTGCCCATCATGAGAACGTGCCTTCTCTGCAGGCCACAGCCTTGGCTGAGTGGGGCTGGACGGCCGTGTCACTCACTGGCTGAGTGACCCAGGTCGGTAACCTGGCTTCACCGAGGGGCTGTATTTTCCACTTGAAAATGGTGTACTAGGAAGACCTTAGTGCTATCCATGCCATAGGGTGGCTTTGCGCACTACACTGAGATCATGTAGCTGTTGTGCACGACAGCCTGCCTGGAATGCAGCAAGCGCAGCGTAGTGGCTGCCCCCTACTGCTGTCGGCGCCGGGGTTCGGCCAGGGCAGCACTAGTGTACCCTTTTTGACAGATTCCTCTTGCAGACCGTCCTTAACTCTGTCTACACAACTCCCCATCTTTTTGCATTTACTCCACTTTCCCTCAGAGTTCTTCTCACTCCTTCCCCATCGGACTAGTTCTCTGCTTAAATGGAAGCAGACCACAGAGTCGGATGGACTTCTGGAAGTGTCGAAGAGGACACTCACCCCTCTGAAATGGTGCTAGTGATGCAAAATTCCCTTTTCAAAGGTCTCCCCAAGCTACTAAGCAAACAGAAAGGTGTATTTCCTTGGGTGTCAGCTCAAGGACAGCAGCCAGGGTCTTTACCGAGGCGCTGTGCTCACGCGCATTACCACAGAGCCGAGCAATGGGGGCCAAATAAAAGCACGCTTTGCTATTTCCACTTTAGCAACTGGAAAAGACTTCTCAGGATTAAGAAGCTGCTGCACTGGGACCCAAACCTCAGTCTTGCAACCCAAATAGCAGGTGTCTTTCTACTGGGCCTTGGGAGGAGCGAGTACTCTGGGGTTTTGAAATGCTGTGCTTTATGTCCGCATCTACATTATTTTACTGTAAGATTTTTCTCAAATCCCTGCCCAATGAACACTTCCATAATAGGAAAATAGCGTCCTGGAGATACATACACAACAGAACAGGCGTAACAGCCCTGTTTACTGCTTTCCCGGACGAGAAAAGTGCCGTCTCGCTTCCCTCGCAGTAGGTTTTCAGCTTTGTTTCGGTTGCTGCTCCCGACATTCCAGGTCTTCTCATCATGGTGGGGCAAATCCTCATCGTCTTCTACCAGCGAATATTGGCTAAGGAGGCAGGAGAGGAGGCGTCTAAATGGAGTGTATGGTCGCCACTCGCCTGGCCCCTCCAGCCCCCTTTGTCACTTCTACCTCGTTCGTTCCTGCCCCTCCTACCAAGCGAGCCAGGCCTGACTCAACCACCTTCTGACCTGAGTTTCCCTCTTGAATTCATTAGCCTTCAGTGTAACCTCCCTGGGCACAGAGAGCAGTGCTAAGTCGGAGATCCCTGTTTCCAAGTCAGCAACTGTGCTTAGGTACCTGGGCAAAGAGGACGGTATTAAGTGATCCTGTTTGTCCAGTTTAGATTGGGAAATTGTCTAGGAGGAGTGCCAGCTTTCAAATAATTCAAACAAAGCATAAGCTTCAAAAATATACTAAACATAATTGTTTGTCTTTCTGAACGTTCCCAAAATATTTTGGGATTTTTTTTTTTTTCTTCCCAGTTTCAGGGACATCGTTAAGGACGCAGTGTCACTTGACGGCCTGATGGGAAAGAGCAGCCCTCCCCCTTCCCTGCACTTTGCAAGTCTGGATAATGAGACTGAGTTTATACAAGATGTTCCAAACTCAGTGAAATGCCTTACTTGTTCTGAAAACAAAGCAAGTCATGCGTTTTCCAAAAATGAAAGAGTAGTGCCATCTCCCACCTTTAGTAGCTACTTACTCTTCCGTGTTTTCATTGCCCAGCCACTCATTTAACTTCTTTTGCCGGACCCCTTTCTGTGTCAGCCACCTGGAAACATTTTAAAACAAATGCATCAATGACTTATTTGAGCAGTTACCGGCCACTCACTCACACAGTTCCCCTGCTAATACTTACATCAAGTATTGGTCTCTTGTCTTTCTAAGTTGAATGAGGTCTGGTTTAATGCTGTTCATACGTTTGTCAATCTCCCGGTACTCAGCTGCCTGCTTCTTCAAGTCTTCCTCCAATCTTCTTCTGCTGTCCACAATTTCACTGATGCGAGACTTTAACTTTTCATAATTATGCATAATCCTATAGGCAAGCAAGAGAAATGCATCTGAATCACCTGGGTGCGTGAGGAAGGATTCGCTGTGAATTCCCAGCAGTTTCCTCAGATAACGAACTTTCTCTTTTTATCATTTTCAAGTTATTCGGAACACAGCAAGTGAGATCATCTTTAAACAGTTTCAGAGGATTTTCATTAGGTCTAGCGCAAGGACAACACAAACACATGCGTGGCTCACCAACCTTTGTATTTCTTTCTCGTTGCCTTCACGTTTAAACTTTTCTATGGATTCTTTGCTGTACCGCTCCTGGGTTTGACACTGTTCTTCAAATATTTTTATAGTTTCATTAAATGCTTCAATAGCTGTTCTTTTCATTTGGATTTCCTGCGATACAATTATAATAAGACAATGTCCTATCCCGTTCACAGAGCAAATTCTTACTGCAAAGACTACTGGGACATTAGGTCTATATGACTTCCTAGCACGTAAGTGCTATGGTAGCAAGGTGACACAGGCACACACACTTCCTTGGGAGAATTTCCCCAATCTGGAGAAAATGATTGCCCGGCCATTCCTACAGCTTTCATCTGTTTAGCTATTCCACTATATCAGCAGTTTATGGCATTCAGGTGGCCTTCAACTCTTTCTTGTAGTTCCAGATACGTGACAGCCTATGCAAGGTTAAGCCTGTGAGAAAACCCGGTAGCAGCTGCAGCCTCTACTTTTCATGGCTGGCACATTAGGGCCACATCTCCACTGCAGAGGTGATACAAATCTGGGGAGCTTCCCATCTAAAAAGAATTCTGCAAGCAGGAATTATGTCATGATAATTAGCTCATTTATCAGGTGAACATCTTAGTCCGATACGTAGAGGTTTCCCTCAATGAAAGGGTGAGCTATACCACGAATAATTACTGGGATAATCCACAATGATCTCTCCCCCCACTTTATTTGTAAAGTCAACCTTTCCTTGGGACGCTTCTAATAACTAAGAGTCCCGAAATTGTAATCTGATTTTCGCAGAAAACTCACCTGGGAAGTACGGGTATAATCTTCATATAATCTATCATATTCCCGGCTTTTTTCTTGAAATTGAGTGTTATATTCATGTAATTTTTTCCCTACGGCTTCAATATTATCTTCTTTGACAACCTGATCCTACAGGGATTAGACAGCAAAGGAGAAAGAAAAATTCAGTTGGTATCTTCATCAAATAATAATTGTTTCACAAGCTATCTGACATGGACAACATTGCTTGACTAGATACAGTTTTTCCGTTTTGATTACCTGTTGGTATTTGGATACTGGATAAAGTAATTTCACATCCAACTTGGGATTATACTGAGCTAGAGATTCATTCCGGTAGTGGTTTATTAGTTCAACCACAGAGTTGAAGGTTAATGGGTCAGAGAAGCCATATTTCCCATCTCGGTGAAATATTTTGATTAATTTGTTATTTCCTCCTTTCCTGCACATACGATATAAAAAATAGCATTAGAAATGTGTTTTAACATCCACTGAAACAATCCAATGTTAGCCACTTTCTCTGACTCACCTTAGTGTCAGAGTATAATCACCATGCATTTTAGTAGATGCGTCTCGTACCAAAAAGGTTCCGTCAGCTGTATCTCGAAGTTTTTCATTCACTTCTTCCCTAAAATGAAAAGAATACAAGACAATGCTTACCTCGAGGAGAGTGTGGGTTTACACTGTTTTTTTTTTTTTTTTTAAATAGACATTATCTTTTAGAGCAGTTTTAGTTCACTGCAAAATGGATCAAAGCATACAGTGTGCCTACATATGATATGCCCTCTGCCCCTACAGGTTGATTTTGATCAGTTACATTTTCAGGACTAGATTGATTCTGTGCTTACAGAGGAATATTATAAATTTCATCTCATTACAAACAGGTGCATGGGAAATTAAAAAAAAATACCACTTTCACTACCAGTGGTGAAGTTTTCATTTTTTACCAAATACTCCAACCACTCTGCCAAACCAGGACACAAATTCAGGATCCCAAACAGGCTTCCTTCCCCACCCCCATACCCCCAACTCCTCACTTCCCTTGAAAAAGGAGTAAAGTGCCATTTTATTATGTTTAAGATAAGAACATTAATTCTTTTGCCTAACAGACAGTGACTTTCCAGTCTGCCTTTAGGCAGTGCCATTGCATCCTGGTGCTTTCCTGACATCTCTGTCAATAATGAAACTTCTCGGGTATTTAATTTCCTGTGGCATCCAGCACCCACAGTTCTCCAGTGCTCAGTGACTTCTCTGGTCGTCTTTGGAAGAGAACCAACTATGCTTCATGCTTATGTTGGATGCTATCCTAAAAATGGAATTTAGCAAGCTGGTGCTTTTCTTTCCCTCCTTCTGAACTATTCCTCACAGTCTCTATAGCCTTACCTCGAGATATCTCCCCAGTACCATTCAGCATCTTGTAAGGACATATTGTTATTCATACCGTTGTTGGCTACAGTAGTAGTGGGTTTTGGTGGTTTGGGAGGCAGTGCTGCAGATTGAGGAGAAAGAAGAAGTTGCTTGCAATCTCTCAAGTACCATCGAACGCTTTTAAGTTAGACTGACATGGCTCTAGATAAAAAACCTTTTTATATAGAACAAAATGGGAGTGACTGAAATACAGCGATAATCCACAGTTCCAGAGAAGCTATTTTTCTTAAAATGGGACATCTTTCCGAGCAGGGCTCGAACAGAAAAACGGCGAGAGAGAACAGCTTAGAGACTAACACACTGGGCTGACCAAGTAAATGAATTTCAAAGTAAATCTAACCATGGCATTTTCGACTTCTCGCTATGTTGAAGTTTCATGCCTGCTCAAATCCAGCTAAAGAAACCATGAGCAGGAGGAATCACGTGGGTTAGCTTTAATTTCCTTTTATTTAATTTTACAAGCCAAATTCAGTTTGTGCCCTCCACAAATGCTGTTGTGGTAATAAAACAGCTCATCTACAGCAATATGTTTAAAGAGGAGGAATTGGGTTTCTCTAATCTTAGTCTTACAGGCACTCTTCTGCCAGAAGCCACTTTAAGAAACTCATCTGTGACCTAAATTTCCTTAGCATTCACGTTAATATTCTACACGATAAACTATGCCAAGACTGATTACAAACCATACCCCTCTTCCTCAATGTCAAATCAGTATTCCTATATATACCAATTGGGGACAGATAAAAGGCTACCATGGGTCTCTGGATTTCTTAATTGGGTGCAGGGCTAACATTGGAATGAAATAAATTCGAAAGCAACATAAGGCTAGGCTTTGTAGCTACATTCTAAGTCCGAAGTTTGAAAGCATTGTTACCATTTGCATTTATGCAAAAATTACTTCAGGAGACTATTTCATAAAGACTCAGACTAAGTAATGAAAAGTCAACGTCTTTTCTCATTATAGTATCTTAAGCGAGAACAGGCAAAACCTCAATTTTTGATTCAGAATAGTTTCAAAACTGAGTTGCAATCACTGCTACATTTTACATGCTTTCTAAAGTACCAAGTGTTATCACAGCAAAGTATCACACTGTTCTCATCCACTGTCAACAGAGAAAAACAGCACAAAGGATGCATCCTTTAAATTCAAGGAACAATATGCCACAATATAACCTAAATAGCAAAGGACCCTGATTAACAGATACCAGTTAAGACATGGAATTCAGCTCATATCCATTCAAGACTTAAACATTTACCACACACAGCCTGATCTGCTTGCTTCCACAGGCAGTCAAACAATTTGCTAAATTTTCAAGCTATGACCAAACTAATTTTTACTAATTAGAACAAATCAATTAAAAATAGAAATCAAAAGAGGATCTGTTCCGGTAGTTGTCCAAAAAAAAAAAAAAAAAAGCCATAAAATTAACTAGCTTTCTACAAGAATACTGCAGTATTACCTGGTGGATCCATTTCTATATAAAACATCAAGTCTGTGCCACAATTTATATCTGTCTTAGCATATTCTAAATCCAGGTCTTCCATATTCCAAACAGTGTTGTACATTTGTGTGAGAGTTTCCTTGGCTGAGCTCAGTTATAAGAAAAGAGTCCGGCTTTCTTTGTAATGGTGTCTTGGAATTCATTTTAAAACCTATAAGGGGCTGCACTGTAACCTATTACATCACACGCCCCAGCCAATCAAGTCAGAAAAATGTCACCAGACCACTCCTGCTTCATCATTTCTCTTCTCCACCGGCCCTAACACTACCCAACCTCAAGAAGAACATACATTTAATAGAACTGCAACGTACACAGGCTCATCGTTTCAAAAAGGTGTTTAATTTGACTGTTCTCCCCCAGCAGTGAGTTTTCTAATTCCTTTTTTATTACTCCTTTGCAGCATGGTACGCTCCGCTGTTGGCAGGTTGACAAAAGCTGATATGCTGCAGCACGTAGCTTTTTTTTTTTTTTCCCCTAGTGCATCTGGGTTTAGAGATAGCCTGGTCACTGCTTGGTTGAAAAATCTTACAAAGAGGCATCAAAATGATATAGAGAAAGGTACTTAAGGACCTTAGGTATACACTACTGGAAATGGAAAGGATTAAGCTGTAGCAATGGGGTATTTAGTTTCCATCCTACATGATACAGAAAACTCAGAACTTAAACACTGCCATGAATGTACCGTGCTTCAAAGCACAGCTGCAAGAAAATAGACTTTATGGACTAAGGATGCAAACTCTTACCAGGAAGGAAGATGTTTAGTAAACATACTTGTCAACTTCATTTTTAATGAGAATTTCTGATGTTACTGGCAAAATTGGTCTACTTAAGTTACACCTTCCCCGCCCCCCCCCCAAAGCAGCCATATATCGGAAGAATGCAGAGTAGAAGTACAGCTACCTTGCCAAGTATTTCTCAGTAAGAACCATCCTCAGCCACATTCTGGAGCTCATACAGCTTACGGGGGAGGGTGATGTAATCACTTTGGGGGGCTTATGTCCCTCCCCTATCTCAAAGGTCTCACTCCAGGAACAAATAATAATATTCCTTCTTTACAGTATTTCATGTAAAGCAATCCATTCTATAATTATTAATTTTACTTCTTTAAAGCCATTTTGTCTACAGTCCTGCCACCTCTACTGGAAGCTAACATTCAGGACATTTCAATACAATGATGGGGGTGCCGGGGGAAAGCCCCCCTTGCAAATGTGACTGACACTAAAAAGTACAGTGGGCTTTGTGATCTATGTATATCCATCATATAAAGACAAAGAAGCCCTTGACATTTATCAAACTTTGTCAAATTTGAAATCCTGAAATGAGCCAAGCCAACATCTTCTCCGAGTAGTGCTAAGTCTTCCCAGCTTCTCCCACTCCCTCTTTTCTATTTGCTGAAAGGGTTTAAGTAGATGTAAAATTCAAATAAAACTGGTAGAAATGGTGGTGCAGGGGGGAGTATGTTCGAGGATAAAACTCAGAAAAAAAAAATCTTAATGAAATTGTTGCCCCTCTTTCCAAAAGGGAGACAAGTCCTGGGAGCAGCTGTGGACCCCGGGGCTTTTGGTGCAAACCAGTCCTGCTGCTGGCCCCATGTGGCAGATCAACCCAGGGAGAAGGACAGGGAGACAGGTGATTTTCCATGGTGTCTCCGAGGCCGGCCAGGCACCAGCGTCCAGCCCAGGGATCTGGATTTACCTCCTTCTCCATTTCCACCCTAATCCCCATCTTTCCCTCACACAGTGCCTTGAGGAAATGGGGAGTGTCTCCCCTAATCTCCCATCCATCTCTCTCTCACACACACTCACACACGAAATAAACCTTTCACAGAACTACAAAACACAATGGGGGGCTGAAAGGTGCACAAATGAAAAGCAACTTACTTTGCAGGTTATGCATTTCAGCGATTTTCCTTTGAAATGCTGGTAGCTGACAGTGAAGAAAAAAAAAAAAAATCCCCAAAGCGCTTCTTCCAGAGCCAGGACCAGCCCCCGCGGGCCCCCCTCCCGGCGGCGGGCAGTGCTCGCGCAGCCGAGCGCGCGCAGGGACCGGCAGCTGCAGGACCCTCGGGCGCTCGCAGCGCGGCCCCACAGACCAGACAATCGCGCGGCCCCAGCAGCTGCTCACTGCCGGCTCCCCATAGAGAAACCCACTCGATGTCGGTACTGTACGGGGGAGGGAAAAAGCCCGGGCGCTCGCACGTCTCTCTCAGATAAAGATCGCAGCTTCATGATTAACTTGGGCAGGTTCAAATATTTGCTGAGCTAGGGATTTCGGGTGGGGGAGGGGAGCGCGAGTCAAAGTCAAAGTTGTCATCGGCTAACAAGTGGTCAACGCCAGCCCAACTTGCTCATTTCGCCGAGGAAATGAGAAGGCCATTGTGGGGGGACCTAAAATAGCCTCTCTCGCCGGCTGCGGCGGCGCGCTCGCTCGCTGGCTCGCGGGGCTCAAGTGGCCACGGTAAGCCAGGCACTCTGCGCAGCCAAACACAGGAAGTGGCTGAGCTAGTTCAGCAAAAAATAGAATCAAAGCCTTGCTTGTAAAGGCCTGAACCTCTCGGAACGGCCCAGAGCACGGTGCCATCCATGCTCGTGTGCACCCCCACCCACCCACCAGCACACAGCCCTGCAGGTGGACTGGACCCACCCGCGGAGCTCTCCGTGGGGAACAGGTCTTTAAAAACGTTTCATAGCAGCCTGGGATCCTCAGGGAGACTACTGTAACTCTCATGGGTACTGACTACTCTGTGAGCACCTTAGGGCTAACAAAGGAAGAAAACCCCCCTCTGGCTATTGGAACAGGTCAGTTCCAGCTCATTTTTCAATTGCTGTACACTTTATAATAAAAGATGTGCCTGCTTTCTGGTCCTCTGATGGCTACCCGGAACCCACGACAGGGAGCAAGAGAAGGGGCACACCTCTGCAGAGGAGTTTTGTACTTTGAGAAAGCTGGGGTGAAGCAGATTTAGGACCGTTGGCTAACATTTAAGGAATTCCTAAGAACATCGGCAGAGAAGGCTTTACTATTATCCCGAGAACTGTACACAGTGTAAAATCATGGAATCACTAGCTTTAAAGCCAGAAAGCATTGCAGAGATCAATCTATTCCCTCATTACCCACACACACACTTCTGACATAGAGGGGTGAAGGGAGTCGTACAACATTATACCACTAGGATCAGAAAACAGTCTTCTGCTGCTTGGTTCTAAACTCCCTTTTCTCTACCCAGCTGATCCTGCTCTTCACTTCCCTCTGCCAGAGAAAGTAAAAATGAACAAGTGAAACTGAAGTTAATTTCTCTTAAGCCACATGCAAAAATGCCACACCTACAACCAAGCTTTCTTTTCTAGTGATTATTTTAGTTTGTTTAGATTAAAAAAAAAAAATCCCTTTTCAGAAAGTGGGTTCTGTTAATAATACCTTCAGATGCTGTGGGCAGTAATGACCCAGTGGTCACATGCAGTGATAAAGGAAGACCCAGGTGCTGACAAAAGTGCACAGGCAGGAGGAACCAGCTTCAGGATTGCTTGCAATATCTGGGAAGCACTGCTAAATGCACAATGAA